TTCAAAGCTTTCAATACATTCTCTATGGGTGTCTGTGGGCTTGCACTTACGCGCTTTCGTCATACGTGACGTAACGTTGAACGTAACTAAGACAATGGCGGCTAGAAGCGTCTCTGTTGCGACCTGCAGTGCGGCGTTATTTTATGTTTTTAATTTGTAGACTTAGTTTACAAACATTCTGCCAACCATGGATTTCCAGTGGTTGGTTTTGGACTGATCTTGTTGATCGTGTACATACCCGCTACGAACGGACTAAATAATGAAACGCTGCTGGCAGCTGAATCCATAAGCTGGAGACTTGGCTGATATCCCGACAGAATGCGGCCACTTCACCCTGGTCAGAGCGACCGCGATCCTGGTAAGAGAGCGCTCTCCGCTGAGTCTGTCTCGACTTATTTAGGCTTTATTGGACGTGGTACCTTGAAGGACAGACGAGATCAAGTCAGTCTAGGCCCCTTGCTTTTATCCAAACTTTACAAAATGACATGCCACGGCTTTGAGTAAACCCAAAGTGTGTTTTGTATGCGGAATGACTAAAACACTATACACGTCAGCTACTACAGCAATTTGAAATAACCTGCAACACTAACAAAGAGTTGCAGTTATTTTCGGAATGGGTGGCAAGAAATAAGTTAGTCCTGAATATTTCCAAAACTAAAAAGCATTGTATTTGGGTCAAATCATTCACTAAACCCTAAACCTCAACTACATCTCATAATGAAAAATGTGGAAATTGAGCAAGTTGAGGTGACTAAATTGCTTGGAGTAAACCCTGGATTGTAGACTGTCATGGTGAAAGCATATTGATACAACAGTAGCAAAAGATGGGGAGAAGTATGTCCATAATTAAGCGCTGCTCTGCCTTCTTAACAAACACTATCAAACAAGGCAGGTCTACAGGCCCAAGTTTGTCGCACCTAGACTACTGTTCAGTAGTGTGGTCAAGTCCCAAAAAAGGGGAGGACTGGGAAAATTGCATTTGGCTCAGAACAGGGCAGCATGGCGGGCCCCTTTAAAAGTACACGGAGAGCTAACATTGATGACAGCATGTCAGTCTCTCCTGGCTCAGAGTGGAAGAGAGTTTGACTTCATCACTGCTTGTTTTTGTGAGAGGGGGCGACGAGCTGGAATGTACCAAGCTGTCTGGTTTGGAAAAATGGCCCACAGCTCGGACACCCATGCATACCCCACAAGACAATGTCACCAGAGGTCTCTTCACAGTCCCAAGTCCAAAAACGGACTAGGGAGGCGCATTAGTACTACATAGAGTCATGACACAATGGAACTCTATTCCCATCAGGTAACTGATCCCAAAGCAGTAGAATCAGTTTTTAAAAAAACAGGTAAAAATACACCTTGTGGAACAGCGGGGACTGTGAAGAGACACACACACAGGTACATACACACATACAAATAAACACTCATTTTACACACACAAACACAGGATGTTGTATTTTAAATATGTGATAGTGGAGTAGTGGCCTGAGGGAACACACTAAATGTATTGGGTAAATGTTATGAAATATAATGTCATTAATATTTAAATAGTATATAACTGCCTTTATGTTGCAGGACCCCAGGAAGAGTAGCTGCGGGGATCCTTAATAAATACAAAAATACAGAAATGGTTTGTCGAGATTGGTGTGGGAAAAAACTTGACTGGCCTGCCCAAGGCCCTGACCTCAAACCCCATCGAACAACCTTTGGATAAATGGAACGCCGACTGCGAGCTAGGCCTAATTGCCCAAATCCGTGCCCGACCTCACTAATGCCCTTGTGGCTGAATGGAAGTCCCCGCAGCAATGTTCTGACATCTAGTGGAAGCCTTCCCAGAAGAGTGGAGGCTGTTTATAGCAGCAAGGGGGGACCAACTCCATATAATTTCCCATGGATTTTGGAATGAGATGTCCCAATACTTTGGTCAGGTAGTGTATATGGGCTTTATTTCCCATCTTCTGAAATGTGACCTTTTAAATAAAGCTGTAGAGTACACTGTGTGAAACCTTTACTAAAGCTGTTAGAGTACACTGTGTGACCTTTTTTCTAAAGCTGTAGAGTCACTGTGGACCTTTTACTAAAGCTTTAGAGTACAAATGTGTGACCCTTTTACTAAAGCTTTTAGAGTACACTGTGTGACCTTTTACTAAAGCTGTAGAGTACACTGTGTGTGTGTGTGGTTCTGTGGTTGTGCATACTTCTGTGTGTGTGGTTGCAGGGGGCGCGCTATGCTACTGCTTATAACTATCAGTTAAGTAGAACTATAAGAAATCTAAGATGTAGCAAATAAATGATATCCAGCTCAGGGCTCTAGCTATGTATTTGGTTTGCCAACTTGCTAGCTAAGTGGCTAGATGTCAAAATCAATCTTCGTGGTTACAGCAGAGACATTCAGTCCCCTCCTGGATCAAGATCCCTGTTGCCTAGATTGTTTTGTGCGCAGTATAATAATACCGTAACCCCAGTATGGTACAGAAACGGTATGACAGTATGGAAATCTGGATAACGCCCAACCTGTGCGGGGTGCCTATGTTGTGTGTACAACTGTGTGTATGTGTATTCTAGCATCATTAGGAGTCCTCCAGCCCTCCAGTCCTCCAGCAGAGCTGTACCCTAGCTGACAGGTCTCCCTGACTGCTTGACACTGATCACTACCAGATGTTCTCTGTATCTGGTAGAACCCCACAGGAAAGATATACACACACACAGCTCTCTTTCTACCCCCCTCACTCCTCTATTGTGCTGGTTTAGTATTTCTACCCAGAAGCCAACTTTAAATCTGTAAGAGTTTTAATAAAAGCTGAGAGTGTGGTGTTGTTGTTCCTGTTGTTTACGCCTTATTGAGGTGGAGGTAGGGTGTATCTCTCTGTGTGTGTGTGTGTGTGTGTGTGTGTGTGTGTGAGAGAGAGAGAGAGAGAGAGAGAGACAGTGAGAAAGAAGTAGAGGGGGTGTTCTAAGAAGTCTTAACTTTTTATCTTCCTTTCCTGAAGGAGAAATCATTAAATCTGTCAAGGGGAAGATGAGAGAGAGAGAGAGAGAGAGAGAGAAGATAGAGAGAGAGAGAGAGATAGAGCAGAGACTCGAGATATAGCGAGATAGAGAGAGATAGAGAAAGAGAGAGACAGTAGAGACATGACGGAACGGACAGTGCTAAAGGGAGAAGAAATAGGAGAGAGGAGATAGGAGACCCTGAGATGGCTGACCTACATACTTTAATACCCCTCTTTCATTTCCCTATTATTCTCATTCTCTCTCTCTCTCCTCTCTCTCTCTCTCTCTCTCTCTCTCTCTCGTCTCTCTCTCTCCTCTCTCTCTCAACTCTCACTCTCTAGATCTCTCTCTCTCCTCTCTCTCTCCTCTCTCTCTTGGTCTCTCTCTCTCCTCTCTCGTCATCTATCATCTCTCTACCTTGCTCTCCTTCTTTCTGGCTCCCCCCCCCCCTCTTTCTCCCTTTCCTCTTCTGGCAGTACAGACTGAACCAGTGATCTCCTTCCACTCTCCCATCTGTCTCTGGCTGTGTGTAATCCTGCCATCAGAACCTTATGACTGGCTGTTATAATGACTGGCTTGTTATTCCCCACAGCCAGAACTGCAGGGGAATGAAATACTTAACAGACTGACGTGGTGGTCTGGGACCCCTGGGGCATGTTCAGTAGGGCACACTGTAACAAAACATTTGGAAATCTGTGTTGTTATTGGAAAAGTTCAGATATAGCTCCCTTGTTCCACTCGGTTTCAAACCCTTTGGTCAATACAGACCCTGGTAAGAGTCCAGTCAGAATGAGCGCTGACTCTCTGATGTGTTTTGTCATAGTGTTCACTATCCAGGCCCCCTTACAACCCTGTTCTCTGTTCCAAATGCCATCTGTACCATTAGCTGTTGCCGTTCACACAAATTCAAATTGTTTGATGTGTAAATGAAAGAGCACAGCCATTGTTTGGACTCATTTCCTGGAACAGGAGTCATCTTCCATTACATTTCTCCTCCCAGAAACATTTTATTTTTATATGCAGGAATTTTCTTTGTAGTATGTTGAATGTGACGCATCCATCACACAGCACCCTGACTAGGGATGCTTCCCAAATGGCACCCTATTCACTATAGTGCACTACTTTTGACCAGAGCGCTATGGCCCCTGGTCAAAAGTAGTGCACTATATAGGAGATAGGGTGCCATTTGGGACGTAGACTTGACTAACCTTCCCCACTGGACTGCCTCCCATTGATTAACTATGAGAGGGCCTTGTGTTCATCTAGGTGTGTGTCTGAGTGTGTATCTGAGACCGAGAAACTATGTTTGATCAACCAAGCCCAGCAGCAGTGGTGGTGGGGAGAGTTGGATCAGTGCTATCTGGGATTCTTCGGATGTCCCTACCCTAAACCCCTACTCTTACCTTAACCATAACAATAAGCCTTACCTAAAGGTGAACCACTCTTAGCCTACCTTTACTATTTAAAAGGTCAACTTCAATGGGGCTAGGGACGTCCCAAGGATTCCGGATAGCACGGACCCTGAGAGTTGTTTCATACCCAGGTCTGTCTCAGGCGCCATGGAAACGAAGCTTGTGCTGTAACCATGTCACCTCCCGTTCTGGTTTTCCTCAGATGAAATCATTAGTCTCTCCCCTATCCCCATAAACACTGAGCAGCAACAGCCAATACCTTATATAGATTGCAATATAGTTTTTTTCAATTGATTGTGTTTTTTTATGGTTGGATAAGTTGACTGTGTAATTTGTAACCCTGTTGATAAGATTGAATGACTCTATCTACCTTGTTTAGCCTCTTAGACCTAGGCATTTGCTCAGGGGGCTAACACCAGTTGTCAGGTTTCAGGCAAGGTTTGTCTACACGCAAACATGGTATCACTGAACCACCTCTGTTACACAGGGCTGTGTGTTGGGACAGACTTGTGTGTGTGTGTGTTGTTTGTTTGTTTGTTTGTTTGTTTGTGTGCATGTGTGAGAGAGGTCTGTATGTGTGCCTGTGGTTTGACTCACCTGTGTGTAGGCCAGTGAAGTACAGCTCTGTAGTGAGTCGGCCAGGTAGCTGGGAGAGTTTAGGGTTGCTGGGGAAAGATCCTCAGGACTGGCCAACTATACCTGCACTCCTACAACACACGCACGCACGCACACACACACACACACACACACACACACACACACACACACACACACACACACACACACACACACACACACACACACACACAGAGGGAGAACATCATTACTCAACATAACACAACATCAACAACACATTAATCAGTGTAACACTGTGACTGTGTCAGAATCATCCCCAGGATCACCATCTCCAGCGCTGTTATTAAATAACTAACTAGCATCATGACTGTGCTCACACTGTGACTATCCACCATGTATACACCATGTGGGTAAGCTATGGGTAAACCATGCTGCAGTCAACTGTGTTGGGATTCATAGGTGAGGTACTGTACTGTCAATTGGCTGCGGTTGGGCAAGCTGTTGGTAGATATCTACACAGAAAATGTAGTTGATCTCGATTTTATATGTAGATATTTGCTCAGGAATAGTAATCGTGTGGCAGGTGTACTAAGCAATCAATAGTCTATTTACTCCTTAACTAAGACCATCGCCGAAACTAAGACAGTTCTACGTAGTTGTTCTGCAGAGTTCTTTGAGGAGGGAAAGAATGGAAGGCTCCACACCACTCTCACTTCAGGATATTACCTAGTTATTTACTGATGATCTCATTTTGCTCTTTTGTAGCTATGGCAACTATGTTAGTGTTTTCTATACCTGTTCACTCCTCTCCCTGCAGGCTTTACAGACACTCCCCACCCCTTGGCTGCAACCCTTCTAATTTGGTGTACCCTGCGAGCACAACCCATGTGGAATTCCGGGTCTCTGGCAGCGTTTGGAACTGCTGATCTGTGGTCAAGAACGCCGAGTTCATCTCAGCAATATGCTGCCCATCCATCCCTTGATGTCGCGGTGGTGGCACAGGTCTACTCATTTCTCCTAACTGGAGATGTTCTATTTTCTCCCTCTCACCTGTCCATCTTCTCATTTTAATTCCATGCTGTCACTGTCACTTGTCCACTCAAGATGAACATTGTTGTCATCTATCACCCACCAAGTGCCCTTGGAGAGTTACTCAATGAGCATGACACTTAAGCTAATTTCCTGACGATGGTTCACCGCTCTTCGTAATTGGCAACTTCAACCTCCCAACCTCTGCCTTTGATTAATTTATTTCCAACTCTCTCTTTCCCCTCCTTGCCTGTTTTGACCTCACCCTTTCCAATCCCCTCCAATTCACAAGGCAGGCAATACGGTTGACCTCATCTTTACTAGAGGCTGTTTGCCTACTAATCTCATTGCAGCCCCCCTTCAGGTCTCTGATCACTACTTTGTTTCCTTTTCTGTCTCCCTTTCCTCCAACCCTAACCACTGAGCCCCTACCCAGATGGTCATGCACCGTCGCAATCTTCGCTTTCTCTCTCCCACTACTCTCTCCTCTTCTATCCTATCATCTCTCCCTTCTGCTAAATTCTTCTCCCTCCTGTCTCCTGATTCTGCCTATTCGACCCTACTCTCCTCCACTTTCCTCCAGGCCCTGCTCGGCCCTACCCTCCTGTTCCATGGCTGAGTGACTCATTACGAGCTTATGGAACAGTGCTGCGGGCAGCTGAGCGGAAATGGAGGAAAACTAAACTTCCGGAGGACCTATAATCTTTTCACTCCCTTCTCTCTAACTTCTCTTCCTCTGTATCCGCTGCTGAAGCCAAGCTTCTGCCTCTAACCCTAGGAAACTCTTTTCCACCTTCTCCTTCCTCCTTAATCCTCCACCCCTCCCCCTCCCTCCTCACTCTCTGCAGGACGACTTTGTCAACCACTTTGAAAGGAAGGTTGACAACATCCGCTCCTCATTCAATCAGCCTATTGAGTCCACTGGTCCCACTCACACAGAACTAACCTACACCTTGACCTCTTTCTCCCCTCTCTCTCCAGATGAAATCCTGTGACTAGTGAGTTCTGGCCACCCGACAACATGCCCGCTCGACCCCATCCGCTCCTCCCTTCTCCAGACCATCCCTGGAGACCTTCTCCCATTCCTCACGTCCCTCATCAACTCATTACATTTACATTTTAGTCATTTAGCAGACGCTCTTATCCAGAGAGACTTACAGTTAGTGAGTGCATACATTTTCAACTCATCAATGACAACTGGCTGCGTCCCCTTTGACTTAAAAAGTCGCTCCCCTCCTCAAGAAACCAACACTCGACTCATCCGACATCAAAAACTATAGCCCGGTATCCTATCTTTCTTTTCATTCCAAAAGACTTGAGCATGCTGTCTCTGGTCAACTCTCTTGTTATCTCTCTCAGAACGGTCTTCTTGACCCTAACCAGTCAGGCTTCAAGACGGGTCACTCAACCGAGACTGCTCTTCTCTGTGTCACGGAGGCTCTCCACACTGCCAAAGCTGACTCTCTCTCTCCTCATCCTCCTAGATCTATCCTCTGCCTTCGACACAGTGAACCATCAGATCCTCCCCTCCACCCTCTCTGGGCTGGGGTCTCTCAGGCTCTGCACACTCTTGGATTGCATCCTACCTGGCACGCCACTCCTACCAGGTGGCGTGGAGAGGATCTGTGTTTGCACTACGTACTCTCATTAGTGGTGTCCCCCAGGGCTCGGTTCTAGGCCCTCTCCTCTTCTCTCTATACACCAAGTCACTCGGCTCCGTCATATCCTCACATGGTCTCTCCTATTATTGCTATGCGGATGACATTAAACTACTTTTCTCCATCCCGCTTCTGACACCCAGGTGGTGACACACATCTCTGCGTGCCTGGCAGATATCTCAGCTTGGATGTTGGCCCACCACCTCAAGCTCAACCTCGACAAGACGGAGCTGCTCTTCGTCCCGGGGAAGGCCTTCCCGCTCAAAGACCTCCCCATCACGGTTGCTAACTCAACAGTGTCGCCCTCCCAGTGTGCAAAGAACCTTGGCATGACCCTGGACAACACCCTGTCGTTCTCTGCAGAAATCAAAGCAGTGACTCACTCCTGCAGGTTCATGCTCTACAACATTCGTAGAGTACAAACCTACCTCACACAGAAAGTGGCGCAGGTCTCAATCCAGGCACTTGTCATCTCCCGTCCGGACTTCTGCAACTTACTGTTGGACTGGGCTCCCCGCTTGTGCCATCAAACGCCTGCAACTTATCCAGAACGCTGCAGCTTGCCTGGTTTTCAACCTTCCCCGCTCCTCTGCACACTCCTCTGCCTTCCAGTCGAAGCTCGCATCCACTACAAGACCATGGTACTTGCCTAAGGAGTAGCAAGAGGAACTGCCCCTCCCTACCTTCAGGCTATGCTCAAACCCTACACCCCAACCCGAGCACTCTGTTCTGCACCCCAATGGTTGAACCATCTTCCGAAAGCACCTGAAACCCTACCTCTTCAAAGAGTATCTTAAATAAAACCCCTCCTCACCTCGCCCCTCCCCCACAAATACATTTTAAAAAATCCTGTACCAACCATTGCACTTGAACACCCCCCCCCCCCCCCCCACACACACACTCCCCTTCTAGCTCCGACTTTCCTGATAGCTGCATTATTGAGGAAAAGTGTACTAACTATGCCTGTGATATGTGGTTGTGCCACCTAGCTATCTTAAGATGAATGCACTGTAAGTCGTTCTGGATAAGAGTGTCTGGTAAATGACTAAAATGTAAAATGTTAATACACCTTGTGATACAGATATTAAGGGATTTCTACACATTATAATGATGAGTTGACTTATGAGGTCCATTTCAAATCTGTCAGTGTCCATAGTCCCAATGTAGAGTAGCTAGTCCTCACTGTATGTACCCTGTATGTAATGTAGGTGTGTGTACCCCTAGTGTTCTCTACCTTTACAGAGGTAATACCGGTGCTTAGCAATGGCTCTACACTCACCATCTCTTTGTGTGCGATGGGTAGTATGGTGGTGAGGTGGTCCTCTGATCCCAGGGGTCTGCCCAGCCCCAGCCCTCCCAGGGGTCTGCCCAGCCCCAGCCCTGCCAGGGGTCTGCCCAGCCCCAGGCCCAGGCCATTACTATGCCTAGAGGGTGGAATAGGAGGAGGGGGCTTGCTTCCCCCATCCAACTTCTTGACCTGCCGCTCCCCCTTGGCGCTGGCTGAGACGTTGACGGCCTCGGCGCTGAGCTTGCGGACTGGATTGGTCAGCCACTTCTTCAAGGTGCTTACGGAACGCCGCGAGCCCGGCGAGCTGGGAGCGGAGCTATCGGACGCCGTTAAGGTCGGGGGCAGGGACGCCACGGAGGTGGAGATGCTACCCTCGCTGCCCGCCGCCGAGTATGAGTCTGGAGGGAGGGAGAGGAGGGAGAGAGAAAGACAGAGATGGAGGGAGGGAGGGAGGGGGGGCAAAGGTCACATAGCAGGTCAAGAGAAGAAGAATTATAAACGTATGGGATTTCTCAGCTCTCCAGATAGATGAATGCAACTTTAACAAAGACAAAGGGCAGCAACAGACACACAGCTGCATGGACAGATGGTCAACCACTGCTAACCACAACCACATCAATAGAAGACAGAGACGGAAGTCAAAATGGGACATTTCTATTTGGTGCAGAGCTAGAGCGGGATAAAACAGCTAGCTAAATACTGGATGGCCATAGAGCTGGATGAACATAGAGCTGGATGAACATAGAGCTGGATGACCATAGAGCTGGATGAACATAGAGCTGGATGACCATAGAGCTGGATGACCATAGAGCTGGATGAACATAGAGCTGGATGACCATAGAGCTGGATGACCATAGAGCTGGATGAACATAGAGCTGGATGAACATAGAGCTGGATGAACATAGAGCTGGATGAACATAGAGCTGGATGACCATAGAGCTGGATGAACATAGAGCTGGATGACCATAGAGCTGGATGAACATAGAGCTGGATGAACATAGAGCTGGATGAACATAGAGCTGGATGACCATACAGCTGGATGAACATAGAGCTGGACTAGAGGGAATATGAGGAGAAAGGTCCTGGTTCAGTGGGATGGAAAGGAGACCCCTCACTCCTCCCTCAACAGTAACTCTCCCCTCTCTCCCCTCTCCCTCAACAGTAACTATCCCCTCTCTCCCCCTCCCTCAACAGTAACTCTCCCCTCTCTCCCCTCTCTCCCCCTCCCTCAAGAGTAACTCTCCTCTCTCCCCCCTCCCTCAACAGTAACTCTCCCCTCTCTCCCCCTCCCTCAACAGTAACTCTTCCCTCTCTCCCCCTCCCTCAACAGTAACTCTCCTCCCCCTCCCTCAACAGTAACTCTCCCCTCTCCCTCCCCTCTCCTCCCCTCCCTCACAGTAACTCTCCCCTCTCGCTCCCCCTCCCTCAACAGTAACCCCCCCTCCCTCAACAGTAACTCTCCCCTCTCTCCCCTCTCTCCCCCTCCCTCAACAGTAACTCTCCCCTCTCTCCCCCCTCCCTCAACAGTAACCCCCCCCTCCCTCAACAGTAACTCTTCCCTCTCTCCCCCTCCCTCAACAGTAACTCTCTCCCCCCTCCCTCAACAGTAACTCTCCCCTCTCTCCCTCTCTCTCCCCTCCCTCAACAGTAACTCTCCCCTCTCTCCTCCCCCCCCCCCAACAGTAATTCTCCCCTCTCCTCCCGCCCTCCCTCACAGTAACAACTCTCCCTCTCTCCCCCTCCCTCAACATAACTCTCCCCCGCTCTCTCAACAATAACTCTCCTCTCTCTCCCCTCCCTCAACAGTAACTCTCCCCCCTCCCCCTCAACAGTAACTCTCCCTCTCTCCCCCCTCCCTCAACAGTAACTCTCCCCTCTCTCCCTCGCCTCCCTCAACAGTAACTCTCCCCTCTCTCCCCCTCCCTCAACAGTAATTCTCTCCCACTCTCCTCTCCCCTCTCCTCAACAGTAACTCTCCCTTCTCTCCCCTCCCTCCCTCACACCTCCCTCAACAGTAACTCTCCCCTCTCTCCCCCCTCCTCAACGTAATCCCCCCCTCCCTCCTCAACAGTAACTCTCCCCTCTCTCCCCCTCCCTCAACAGTAACTCTCCTCCCTCTCTCCCCCCTCCCTCAACAGTAACTCTCTCTCCTCTCACAAAAGTAACTCTCCCTTCTCTCCCCCTCCCTCAACATTAACTCTCCCCTCTCTCCCCCTTCCCTCAACAGTAACTCTCCCCTCTCTCCCCCCTCCCTCAAAAGTAACCTCTCCTGTCTACCGGCTCCCTCAACAGTAACTCTCCCCTCATCTCCCCCTCCCTCAACAGTAAATCTCCCCTCTCCCTCCCCCTCCCTCAACAGTACATCTCCCCTCTCTCCCCCCTTCCTCAACAGTAAATCGCCCCGTTTCTCCCCCCCTCCTTCACAGTAACTCTCCCCCTCCCTCAACAGTAAACTCTCCCCTCTCTCCCCCTCCCTCAATAGTAACTCTCCCCTCTCTCCCCCTCACTCACAGTAACTCTCCCCTCTCTACCCCTCCCTCAACAGTAAATCTCCCCTCTCTCCCCCCTCCCTCACAGTAACTCTCCCCTCTCTCCCCCTCCTTCAACAGTAACTCTTCCCTTTCTCCCCTCCCCTCAACATAACTCTCTCCCCCCTCCTCCTCCTAATAGTACTCTCCCCCCCTCCTCTCAACAGAACTCTCCCCCTCTTCCCCTCCCTCAACAGTAACTCTCTCCTCTTGCCCCCCCCTCTCAACAGTAACTCTCCCCCCTCTCCTCTCCCCCTCCCTCAACAGTACCCCCCCCCCCCCTCCCTCAACATACCTCTCCCCTCTCTCCCCCTCACTCAACAGTAACTCTCCCCTCTCTAACCCCTCCCCTCAACAGTAAATATCCCCTCTCCTCCCCCCTCCCTCAACAGTAACTCTCCCCTCTCTCCCCCTCCCTCAACATTAACTCTCTCCCCCCTCCCTAAACTGTAACTCTCACCCTCCCTCAACAGTAAACTCTCCCCCTCTCTCCCCCTCCCTCAACAGTAACTCTCCCCTCTTTCCCCCCCTCTCAACAGTAACTCTCCCCTCTTCTTCCCCCTCCCTCAACAGTAAACTCTCCCCTCTTTCCCCCCCTCTCAACAGTAACTCTCCCCTCTTCCCCCCCCCCTCTCAACAGTAACTCTCCCCTCTCTCCCCCCTCACTCAACAGTAACTCTCCCCTCTATCCCCCTCCCTTAACAGTAACTCTCCCCCTCCCTCAACAGTAACTCTCCCCTCTCTCCCCCCCTCCCTCAACAGTAACTCTCCCCTCTCTCCCCCTCCCTCAACAGTAACCATATCAGAGGAAGTCAAAATGAAGACAGGAAAGAAGTATACATGGTATATTATACATGGTATATTATACATGGGCTTTCTTCTTAAACACAGCTGTTCAGCTGTTACTAGTACAGCCATAGAGGAGACATTGTTTAGGGCATTTTGCAGATTGGAGGGGTTATGTTGGTTTACTTGGTTAGAACCATGTGACCAAAACAAACAAACAAACAAACATAAAATACCCCTTGTCCAATCCCAGACAGGATCTTCTGTTCTGCGGTGATGTTACAAGGACAGGGGAAGTGAGTGGGGGAGACGTTCTCTTTAATCCTATGGATGGGAAGATCTTTGTTTGGTTACAGCTTTGTCTTTTATCCTGTCCCCTTTCCCCTCTCCCATCCATCTCCCTTGCTCAGGCCGAAGTCCTGGGATAGTCTTTCCTGTAAGAGGTGTGGTTGTCGTCTTTTGGTTATAGCTTTGTGTTTGGTCTCTTGCCCCCGTCCCCCATCCTCTTTTCCTGTAAGATGTGTTGATGAGTGGCTGTGGTCTCTCATCTAAGATGATAAAAGACTATTCCTATCCATCTCCCTGACCTCTAACCCTTCACCCTCCACTGTCACTCTGACTACAGATGGGGAAACACTCCAACAGCCAACAACAGGATCCAGCTCCAGATTGTTGTTGTTCCTACGATATATTGAACCAACATGAGTGACATCTCTTGGTCAGGGTCACTACAATACAAAAGAAAACGCTCTGAAACTACCTGAACTGGTTCGATAAAAAACACTTGTTTTTGCTTTCTGTTGCACAACGATTTGATAGTAGTTTCAATGCACTCACTTCTCAGGTTCTCTCTCGTACAGTGTTATCATTGAATGACGAGAGAGAGCGAGAGAAAGAGAGAGAGCGAGAGAGAGAGCGAGAGAAAGAGTGAGAGAGTCTGCATGCACTAGTTCTCTATAAAGCTTCTGCTGACATAAGTCAGTGGCCCAATTTGTAAGTGTTTCTACATCAAAGCTAGTCGGCTCTAAATCCACAATCCTTCTCAGTGGGTATGTGTGAAGTGATTCTGTTTTTTCAATCTTCATTCATTCAGGCTCAATTGAATATCTCTGTCTAAACACAAACAAATCTGTGTCAACAGTAACTCTCCCCTCTCTCCCCCCTCCCTCAACAGTAACTCTCCCCTCTTCCCCCCCTCTCTCAACAGTAACTCTTCCCTCTCTCCCCCTCCCTCAATAGTAACTCTCCCCTCTCTCCCCCTCCCTCAACAGTAACTCTCCCCTCTTCCCCGCCTCTCTCACCAGTAACTCTCCCCCTCTCTGCCCCTCCCTCAACAGTAACTCTTCCCCTCTCCCCCTCCCTCAATAGTAACTCTCCCTCCTCTCTCCCTCCCCGCCTCTCTCAACAGTAACCCTCCCCTCTCTGCCCTCCCTCAACAGTAACTCTCCCCTCTTCCCCCCCTCTCTCAACAGTAACTCTTCCCTTTCTCCCCCTCCCTCAGTAGAAGAAGCCATGTGAAATTAACTCCATCATAAACATGTTCTCTTTTCTCCATCGTAAAAAGTGTTCAACCACATCAGTTTCTTTAGAGATCGAAATTAATGAGAAAAACATTGTTTATAAATCACAATCTCTAGGTCCATTTTCTGTATTAGATAACCATGGAAAAATCATGTCCCTTTTGCAACTATCCACCTCTTCCCCCTCCTCCTCATCCTTTGCCCCTCCTCCTCCTCTTCCCCCTCCTCCTCCTCCTCTTCCCCCTCTTCCTCATCCTCCCTACAGCGCTATTGCCTTGCTGACAGTTACCATATCCATTCGAAACTAAATATATACTGAATCTAGTAGACAAGACATCTGTCTGTCCACACTCCTTTGCCTCTTTTTTTCTATCTAACACTCTCTCTTGTCTTCCTCACAGTTTGACTGAGGAGAACAGATTTGGTCCTCTGTATCTCTTTAACATGTCTGGCCACAGAATAGCCTGTTTTATAGACGGCATGTGTGTGAGCTCAGGGTGGGCTGTTTCACCACACACACACACACACACACACACACACACACACACACACACACACACAC